GATGATGATGATGATGATGATGATGATGAAGATGATGATGAAGATGATGATGAAGATGAAGATGAAGATGATGATGATGATGATGATGATGATGAAGATGATGATGAAGATGATGATGAAGATGAAGATGAAGATGATGATGATGATGATGATGATGATGATGATGATGATGATGAGGATGATGATGAAGATGAAGATGAAGATGAAGATGAAGATGAAGATGAAGATGAAGAAGGTTTCTCATGTAAATAAAGTTTGTCTCTAACAGCTGACGATCAGAGTGAGAGCCGAGCGTCTCTGTTGAATCCATCTCGTTCTCGTTTCCTCTCAGAACCAACAGCGGAACAGGAGGAAGAGGAAAAAAGACGCCGCTGCCATGGCAACCGAGAGTACACATCCTGTCAGACTGGAGCCGACAGGTGTGTGTGTGTGTGTGTGTGCTCGTCAGACAGAGTGAAGCCTGTCTTCTTATTGGCTCCCAGCCTGCAGAGCAGTGCATCGTGGGTCGCGGCTGCTTTAATGTCAAATCCAGCTGCTGCAGCTGCACAACGCCTCTCTCTCTCTCTCTCTCTCTCTCTCTCTCTCTCTCTCTCTCTCTCTCTCCATCCGGCCCACATCAGGAAGTGGTTTCCAGAGAATCTCCCTCTGGACGTCATATGAGGGAGTCCCGAGCCCCAAGTGTGTGTGTGTGTGTGTGTGTGTGTGTGTGTGTGTGTGTGTGTGTGTGTGTGTGTGTGTGTGTGTGTGTGTCTGCATCTGTGTTTTCTTCATGTTTGTGTGTCAAGTTGTGAGTCTGTCATAAACACCTCACACACTCTGTGATGCAGAATGCTCAGACAGGGAGTTTGAGTTCAACATGTCTGTCCCTGAATGTCACATCCTGTCGTCATGTAAACAACAGTTAAAATACTCCATTACAAAATAAAAGTACACAAGTATTACCAGCTTCCTGTAGTTACAGTGTCTCAGTAAAAGTATTTCCTGTCTCCTGTGACTGATCTCTGATCAGATCATTTATCCTGAGTCATTTTACTGTTGTAGCTGCTTTAATTACGTCACATACACTTTGATTATTTAGTCCACTGGTTCCCAACACAGGGGTTGGGCCCCTTCCAAGGGTCACCAGGTAAATGTGAGGGGTCGTCACATGTTTGAAGAAACAATCAGATCACTTGGACTTTTCTCTGATCTTATTTATTTATCAATAAAATATTGATAGTTTTGCGTCTTTAGACCCTGAACAGCTGTTTAACAGAAACCATGTGAAAGAGGAAATGGACCATGAAAGTACCATGAAATGGAAGTACCTGAGTAAAGTATAAGTACCTATTGTAAGTAATTAAAATGGGAAGTAAAAAGTACTTTACTCCCAAAGGAGACGTCTCGCAGCAGTATGCAGTGAGCACCATCACTCTGATCATAAACTGGAACATTCCTCCACTTCACTTTATGATATTCTTGACATTTTATTCCTGTGTTTCATGTTTGTGGGTCCACGAGGCACTGAGCAGCTTCACAGGTGAACACACCGCAGCCACAGTACGTATAATGTAACCCTTCAAAATAAAAGTATCATTTCTATCCACTGATGTGAAGTCAGACTGTGACCTCAGTGTCAGTGTTACCAAACGTTATATTAGTCCCTGTCTCTCTCATATAACTGTGTCTGTGTTCAACATTAGGCTGGACAGAAAGACTTTCGTTTCCTGCACACACACACACACACACACACACACACACACACACACACACACACACACACACACACACACTCCAGATGTCGGGGAATAAGGGACACTTAAAGAGCTGGTGAGTTACGTACATCCGAATTTCTCTCTCACACACACCGAGTTCAACACAGAGGCAGCCAACTGGGCGGCCGAGCATGACCAGAACAGGGAGACAGAGAGAGAGAGACTCTGCAGCAGCAGTGTCTGTATGAAGCTTCCTGTTCTCGTCTATGAAACAACACAAACAGAAACAACAGTCCACTGCATTACCGTCTTCTTTTTGTACAATCCTGTATGTGGCCAAAAGTATGTGGACAGCCTGTCGGGGTCTGGTGCTCCTTATATGTAAGTTTTTTAGCTTTTAACTTCTCTACCTTTTACACCTCTTTCTCTTAGAAGACGCCTTGGGGCCTAAGTCTTAGGAGGTCTGAAGTCGGGCTGACGCTGTTCAGATTCAGACCCATTTTAGCCCTGAATCAGTTTCCTCTGACTCATTTTAGAATTGCCAAATAGCTGCCAGATCGGTTCTCGTTTGACATTCAGTTTGACCAGAGTCTCACCCTCAACGATCTGGCTCCCAAACGACTGGTTGGATGTCTGGCAGGTCGGCTGTCTGCAGTGAGAGCAGCACAACGACCCGAACACTGCAAGCGGAGACCAGCTTGAAGACGAGGAAGACCATGATGTGGTTTAACCTCTGGAAAATGGGAACAAGTGGACCATGGTTGAAGATCTTTCGTCAAACTACTGTGTCTTCAGTTCTTTGCATAAAACCACACTTCCTTTATCGCCGACCTCCTAATGTTGGAGTCAATCCCACATCCTCAAACTGTTGCTCAATATTCTTCTGTGGTGTTCTTCACCATCAAACCAGACACAGGGTCAAAACCCGAGAAGAAATACCGTGGCCTCCACTTTAACCCCAGCCCACCACGAAACTCGAAAGAAAATCTGTAAATTCTCTAATCTTTTGGACTTTTCACATCTTATTCATCTGGTCAACAAAAGGTTTGAAAGTGAAAGTGTACTCTTCTTCTGAAGGTCGTACAACTTCAATATTTCACTTCTCATTGAAGAAAAGTTGATTTGAGGGCAGCTGGACTTGGTTGTGGATACTTGAGGAGGTTTCACCTTCTTCAGGTATGTCTTCAAATATCTACAAACAAGTCCAGCCCTCGATTCAACTTTTCTTGAACAATCACGACCTGGATGACTGAGAATCTTCAGATATATTTCATCTCAAACTACTGGAATCAGCCTGTAAAATACAAACCATGACAGAACAATACATGAGTGTCTTCAACATCCCGTTCCCTCAAGTGAGTTTATACTTTTAATATTCCCCCAGTTACAAATGTTATGAATGAATATGATGGAAATGTTGGTGTTTCCTGTGGTAGCTGTGATACTGCATGTGGCCTGACAGTCCTGGATCAGGGCTGACAGGCCTCTGGGTCCAGATTTTCAACTGTGTTTTCAGGAATACCTTTAAAAACTATCATGTTTTAGTAAATATGAAGCTGCAGATGTTTATTTCAGCTCCCTTCAGAGCTGCTGATTGGTCTCATGTCATGACATCCTGTAAGAGGTATCACTCCTCTCAGAAAGATGACATCTGATCTTGGAGCGGAGCTGTTGGTTTTTGGACGGTGAGGATACAGTAAGACCCCGGTTTGTGATGAATCACACCTGAGCCTCCCCCTCTCCTCCCTTCCTCCCCCAAATTTCAAATAAACATGTCAGTCTGCATCTCCCCCGATGACTCTGTCGCCGTCCAGATGCGTCACATTTCCTCGAATTCAGTAAACATCACGTTCGCTTGATTTATCCGCCTTCGACTGGAGGATTTCTTCCCAATTAATCAAACTGTCGGGCCGCCTCTCCTCCGACATCAGCGGCCGCCTCAGCGTTTCCTACAGTTTATCCCGAAAGGAGCAAGACATCAGCTCGTGCAGCAGGATGAATCAACCTGCTGGGAGTTCACTTCTTTACTTCTGATGTGTCTCCGTCATTTGAGCGATGATCAGGGATTATTAACGTCAGCAAACAGCCAATACTTTCCCTCTCATGTCCCAGAACAGTAACTGTAGACGAGGCTGCTCGTCGCCTGACATCCAAACAGTTTACACCTGTAGAAAGAATTTAAAGCTGCACTAATCAACATGTTTATATCAACAATGAATCATGTAATGTGAAACTGTCACCATTTCTGCAGCTCCTCTCAGCTTTTCAGCCTCTTTCCCCTCCTACTTTTGATTTATGCACATTTTTTAAAAGGTTTTTTCAGGTTCTTTTCAGTCAGATTTTGTCCAAATTTGTGCATATTTTAATCAAATTTCTGGACAATGGTTCAAATAAAACATGAGTAAACTCTTTTCTCCTCCTCTGCTGCTGTGTGAACATGACTGGCTGATGGAGATAAACAGCTGCTGGAGCTGACATTAAACCACCACCACCACAGAAGAAGAAGAAGAAGAAGAGGTCATTAACAGATCCAGTCAGAGCTCAGATGATGGAGAACTTGTAAAGAACCTGATGGAGATCTGATGTTTCTGTTTGTTTACTGTGTTACTGTGTTAATGTGAGGACGGTTCCCTCCTTATGTTTCTAGACAAAATCAAAAATAATCCATGTAGCTTCAATTCAACGGAAATATAAGGGACCAAGAATAGAACCCTGAGGAACCTCACCAGTCATTACTATTATATATTATTATGATTAATAAACTTTACTTACTGACTTAAACCTACTGCAAAGTGATTATTCCAGTACAGACGATATTTAGACACCTGTAAAAATGACGAATGTGAATTTGTTTGAAAGTGTATTCGAACGCACCATGTGATCACTGATCAACACTCTAGTTAAACAGTGTGACTGGAACACGTCACGCTGCTAAAACCATCTGATGTCATTAGTTATACAATTTATATATCATATAAATTTACATAATAGATTCACATTGTTTTATTCAAAAACAGTATTTCAGGAGTGCAATAAACAATCGTTATATATTCTTTTTTATAGGCAGTAAAGTGACATTTGAGAAGGAGTGTTTCCAAATACTGTTCAATAACATTATTATTCATAACAAATACCATTTGTTCAGTTTTAAATCATCATGAGGAGACGATCAGTTTGAACAGTTCTTCGAAACGTCAGACTTGATGACACGTATAATTTAAAGAAATGTTATAGTAGAAACTTCTCAATATTAAAATAATTCTGTTAATACTGTTTCTGTGTCTGGTCTCCATCAGTGAGCAGCACAAGTTCAAATGTTGTGATTCACAGTAATTTGAAAATCTGAGCTGATCAATGATCAATATGTTGGGTGAATTTCCTGGATTCCCTTTATGCTTGTTTTTCCTCAGCCAATCAGGACACTTGATTCTGGGCCACCGCCTTGATTTCCAGCAGCGTTTTAATGACGTCATCACTGTAGGACAGGGTGTCCCGCAGCACCTGCACAGTGTGCTGACCAATCACAGGAGGGGGCGTCGGTCCACCGGGGGCGAAGCTGCTGAATCGAACGGCCGGACCTGAAGACGCAAAAACAACCAGGCGATAAATCACTGTTCAAAATCTTGTACTTTAGTTTCATGTCATTTGACCACGCCCCTCTTTAATGACATCACTCTTTCTTCTCACTAAACATTCACAGTCAGAATGACCAGCAGGACTTCCTGCAGATGTTTCACATTAAAAGCCTTTCAAGAAGATCTTTGCAGGTAGTGTTGGGATTCACTGACAGTAACTGATCGATTATATTGATTATAGACTGAATTCATCCAGACATGGAGGACGTGTAAATGGAAACAGGTTTGACAGAATCAGAACCTGGAATAAAACCACTAATCATCACAGTATAGATTAATATGATCCTAAATATCAGTATCATTTAATGTTTTTATTTTTTGATAATGTTAAAATAAAAGAGCTAAGAGATACAGGTACGTGTTGTGATGTCACGGCTCCTGTGAGGTCACGTCATCACTGATCAAATCAAACCTGTATTATCGTATTACTGGACAAATCAAGTTTGTATTAATCAGACAACAAAACATTAAATCTGGTTCCTGGTCTCCAGAGGTTTAACCCTTTAAACTCTGGTGCCCCCCTCAGGACAAACTCTCAGATAAACCACCAGCACCTTCATTCTTCATATTGGTGCTGTAATGAGCTCTGCTGCCTCTAGGGGGCGATACATTGAACCTCACTCTCTCACTCTCTCACACACACACACACACACACACACAGCTCTCTCCCAGCAGTAAAAACCACAAGTGCCCACAAACAATGTTCTCTCCCTCTTCATCCTCCTCTTTATCAAAACCAGCCTCATCCACTCTGTGTGTGTGTGTGTGTGTGTGTGTGTGTGTGTGTGTGTGTGTGTGTGTGTGTGTGTGTGTGTGTGTGTGTGTGTGTGTGTGTGTTCCAGCAGTAACTACAGATGGACCGATGCCTCCAACCACATCCGCTATCTGCCCCCCCTCAAGTTCAAATTAACTTTATTTGCACATCAGACATGTTGGAAAAAGCAACTGTACAATACAAGTGGTGAAACACAATCTACAGTAGGATTAGATTATATATTATATTCATATTTCACCTGAGTGTGTGTGTGTGTGTGTGTCACAAACTCTTGACAGCAGATTTTGTGTTTCCTCTTTATTATTTCAGATCATACTGACATGTAGAAACTGTTGAAGCCTCAGCTGATCTGAAAACAGCTGCTGTAAATATAATTAATATAATCAGAGTTCATGAAGGTGAAAGACAAACTGGGAATAAATCTGTAAATGAACAGAAGGAGGCTCTTTTTGTTTTCTGATGATCATCTGTCATGCTCTGTAGATTTGAAATGTTTCAACTATAAAAGCTCCGTCGTCTTATTTTGAAAATCATTCAGATAACAGTCATAGATTAAAGTGACCACACAATGCTGCCTCCACTTTAACCATCTGACGTTACAACACAGTGACACAGAAAAGTGTTTTTGTTGCTACTTCCTGGACGTGAACCCTCCTCCACCAACACACCTGCTGCTGTGATGTGGTGATCTCTGTCATGTGACCGTGCACCTGTGTATGTTCAGCTCTGTGAGTCAAACAGCAGCCGCCACATGAATCACACTCAGTGGTCGCTGTCCGCTCCCATTATGATTTTCTAACAGTGAAGTTTTAGAGGTAAAGGGGGGGGGGGGCAGGAAGTGAGGGAAGGAGGAGAGTGAGGACTCGGATGGTTGAGAGAACAAACAGTTTATTTATGGAAACTCACAACAATCAGCTGTTTTTTAAAGAGCAGCACTAATGAGCTCAACTCTCACAGTCACAGTGTGTGTGTGTGTGTGTGTGTGTGTGTGTCTGAGCCCACACGTGCATGATCACACAAACGTGTGTGTGTGCCGCCCTGCATGGTTTTATGCATGACTGTGTCTGTGTGTGTGTGTGTGTGTGTGAACAGCTCTTCTATTTTCAAACCATTAACAACCTGTTTTCCCCTTCAATGACGCTCAACAAGTGTGTGTGTGTGTGTGTGTGTGTGTGTGTGTGTGTGTGTGTGTGTGTGTGTGTGTGTGTGTGTGTGTGTGTGTGTAGGGGTGTCAGGGCAAATAATTAAAAATAAGATTATGTAATATCTCTATTCATTCAGTTCTTCATTTTCTCCGTCCTCCATCTGTTTGTCCATCGATGTGTCCGTGAGGAAGGAAGGAGGGAAGGAAGGAAGTTAATATGTAATGGAGAGAAGAAGAAATGAAAAGAGGGAAGGAAGAAAAAATCAAGCAAAGGAAAGAAGGAAGTCATCTTCTTTTATCAAGAGGTTTCAACCATTTAAAGGAACTGCCTGTAAGTTTAGCTACTGCTACGTAGCTAATGTTAGCATCAACAGCTGTTTACTCGCCAGTCTCACCAACAGCTTCAGCCTAGTGTTTACAATACAGCAGGTCATAATACATCTGGGCAGCTACGTCTTCAGGACAGACTGGACGCTGCAGTGACGAGACAGGCTGACTAGGCTGATAGCTAGCTGGTTAGCATGCTAACGTCAGTAGAAAAAAAGAAGTGATAGAAAAAGAAGCAAAACAAGAAAGTTGATTCCCACATCTGGAGACAGATGTTGGTGAGTGAAGTTTGATGCTGAACTAACAACGTTTGTTCTAGACTGGTGAGTAAACAGCTGCTAATGCTAATGCTAGCTATGTAGCAATCGCAAAAACTTACATTTAGCTCCTTTAAAAACTTAAATCTGGCTCCGCCTCCTTCATCCGTCCATCACAGTCTTTTCTCCAATTATATAACGTCTGTAAATGGACACACACACTCTATATGTTTGTCAGGAGTTATTTCTCGGCTCTAAAACAACACACACACACACACACACACACACACACACACACACACACACACACACACACTAAAACACATTCACAAAGAGAGAAATGCCTGGGACGGTTTGGCCAATGAATATTCGGAGCTGCACGTTTTTACGCTCAGTTAACCTCGAACTTACAGACAACACAGGCACACACACAGACACACACACACACACACACACACACACACACACTCACTTGTGCCTGGTGTTGTTTACTAAACAAAGATGGAGAACAGAAAAGGAACGTAGAGAGCAAAGAAAAGGATATTGTTAAGGCGGTGAACAGACTGACCCACACACACACACACACACACACACACACACACACACACACACACACACACACACAGATTCCTCTGACATTGTGGTTCGGTGTAAATCACAGGAGAGGAAGATTACAGGACAATCATGGGGCATCAAGGGACGTCATGTTACATGTTACCAGCATGTGTGTGTGTGTGTGTGTGTGTGTGTGTGTGTGTGTGTGTGTGTGTGTGTGACCACAGACAGATGTTGTGTATTGTGACTCCATCAGATGGAAACCACCCTGTCACTCACCAACTCTCAGAGACAACGTTTTCCAAAATGTTGAACTGTTCCTTTAATGAGTGCGACTTCCTGTGACCTCTGCGTCCTTAAGCCCCGCCCACACCAGCCTTTAAAACACGAGGACCGTCTCTTCATCCCAGACGGGTCACATGGACCCTGGTCGCCTGGACGGAGCTGATGAGTGAAACCTGGAGCACCAACATGTCGGCTCATCTTCTAAAGGATTTATGGTTTATAATGAGTTTATAAATTAGCTTGTTAACACGTTATAAATCATTTATAACCTGTTATAACACATTAGATAAAAAGGACAACAGTGACCTGTTTCCTGCCAAATAGTGAGCCCTCACGTATCTGAACTGTTCAGCCTCATGTCTCTTTGTTTTCTGTAGCTGCTGCTTCATCACACGTTTGATAAGTTACTAATTAATTAACCACCATCAGCATCACAGTGTGTTTCCCTGGTTATAATCAGCTGGTGTGTTTGTCTGTGGGAAGGAGGAATCAGAGGAAGGAATCAAACCGAGAGGAGTTGATGACAACAACTCCCATGATCCCACGCTACTTCACCACGTCTAAATGTGTGAGTCTGGGTCGCCCCTGGTAACACACCTCTGCACACAAACACAGGAGGCATCGTAGTCATGAATGAAGAGGATCATGGACAACGTCCTTGTAACTGTTGAATTCCTGCAGAGCTGGAGCTGAGCGGTCGGAGCTCCTGGCCTACACTAAACAACCAGCACGAGGCTGTGGACCAATCAAAGACCTGCTTTAAAGTCACTGCGGTTGTGAAACAGGCTTCGTGCTGAAGTTAGTGTCACTTTGATTCTGTTGATTTTATAAGAAACTCTGTGACGCCGAGTCGACTGGCTCCACACCAAACGTAACACACACCTGCCTCTGCTCATTATGAATGTCTTCCTGCTGGGTCTCACACACACACACACACACACACACACACACACGGTCTAAGATAGATTACAGTGTAAATACACGGTGGTGGACAAAGAGCTTCCTCTTAGTGGAAACACACTGAGATCCATCAAACCAACCAAGCAGGAGAGTCCCCATGGACAGGTGTGTGTGTGTGTGTGTGTGTGTGTGTGTGTGTGTTTGAGAGTCTGTCTGTATGTGAGTGTGTGCATGGCTGTGTGTGTTTGTGTGTCCATAACCATGTCTGTCCCAGTGGACAGGAAAACACTTCTTGGAAAATGTCATTTAACAAGTTGGTGTCAAAGACAGAAAGTTAAGGTTAGATAGAGGACAACTGTGTATGTGTGTGTGTGTGTGTGTGTGTGTGTGCTGACCAGGTACAGCGATGCGTCCTGCTGTTGGATGATTCATCTCCTGTATCAGACCGTTGTGTTTCACCTGTAAACAAACAAACACACATTAAACTGGATGGCTCTGAGCTCCACCATCTCACACACACTGTGGTTCACACTGACTCAGTCACTCTCTCACACACACACACCGTCCTGCTGCCTCACTACAGCGACAAATGTGGATTAATCCGCCACTGAAAATAGTCCCCAACAGATTCAGCTTCACGGTTCCTCCTGTGTGTGTGAGAGAAGCTGCAGTGATCAGCTGTTTCAGGAAATGACTTGAGACTTTCACAAAAATGAAACTTTATATTTGTTTTTTTATTTTAATTATAGAGTGGTGGTTTCAGGACCAGGGGACGGTGATGGGAATAAACCTGCAGACTGTCAGACACGACACACAAGCTCTGTTCAGTCAGGAGTGATGACCAGCTCTCTCTCTCTCTCTCTCTCTCTCTCCTGCATACACGACTTCCTCTGTACAAGTGCAACGGTGTCACCTGCTCCTCCTCCTCTTCATCCCTCCATCTCTCAGAGACGACAGAGGACGTCCATCTCTTACGTATTCCTCAGGTGTGTTTTTGGCAGACCTTTTCCTGTATCTCCTGTAAACTGGAGCTAATGATAGTGAGTTGGTGTGTGACCTCTGACCTCTTACAAGAGGACACTTTATGTGCATAGAGCCCGTTCAACGCCGCCGCCGTATTGGACAGGGCGAGACTTCCCTGTAACCAAACAGAGCAGCTGCAGGTAATAACATTTATATTTCTCAGCTGATTTCAATGAGTCGTTTTTATGTCGAGTCGAGTTTATGATCTACGTCGAGTAAAAATAAAAGTTTGCTCCAGTGAGTTATAATCCTGATCAACGCTGAGCTGAATTACTGACGTGGTGGAAAATAATCAATTAATAATAAAAACAGTGATCAGAGTCTAAACTATCACGATTCTAAGTAACTGGAGACCAAACATTTATTTTTACTCAACGTTCATCATAAACTCTTGAAGATAAAAACGACTTTAATATCTGAATATCCAGAAAAACTGCAGCTCCTCCGTCCAACATGGCGGCAACGTTGACGCACGATCCAGCGGCCAATGCAGCGTCAGTGTGTAAAGGTATCAGGTGGACACTGACTTCCTGGATAACTGTCAGTCGGTGTGTTTTGTTTCACACAGACAGACGTACAGGTGAAGATGTTTCTGATGTCGTGCTCATCCTGCAGCTTTACGAGTCAAAGGAACCGGTCTGAGGGTCGTCCAGAGGTCATGTCGGGGTCACACTCAGATCACTGAGGTCGTGTCACACCTGAATCACCGACAGGACGTGTGAGTGAAGGTGACGTCAGAATCACTGATGCTGCTTCACCACAGTCTATTTCTGAACAGAGAGAGGGAGGAGTGTTGGTGGACCTGGTTTCAGACACACTCCGTCCTGGTCGTCCTGACCTGAGCTCCGAGCACCGCGACCTGAAGGTTTCCACATGTGGTGACAGGCTGAGACAAATCTTTTATCAGGGGAGCCGCGGGAGGGAACGCCGGAGACAGGAAGCTCTGATTGGTTTAACAGAAGAACCTGGATCACAGAGGACGACGAGAAAACAGGAAGTGACGCAGGTGCTGCGGATAAATATAAATGATCTCTGAGGAGAGATTTAAACGCAGCAGTTACAGAACATGTGGGCGGAGCCTGGCCTCAGGAGGGATGTGATCAGGTCAGTCTGGGATTGATTAGATTTACTGATAGTGAGCGTGAAGCCTGAAGAGCCTCAGAGACTCAAGCTGACACAACACCTGCTCACCAGTGCTGGACATTTACTTCGTCCACACCTCAACAACACCTGAGAAACACTGATGACATCATGATCTGTAGCATAAATCTAATCAATACATAAGGAAGCGACAGACAGTGACAGGAAACAGAAAGGATGAAAATCACAAAATAAACACAAGGCAGAGAGAAAAACTCACTTGACAGAGAATTCCAATATTTAAAGCTCATGTTTCTTCTTCTGTGTTTTATTTGAAGTGTTGATCCATCAGAAGATATAAAAACCATCTCAGTGTAGTTTTACATCTCCTCTCTCAGGCTTCTCTCTCTCTAGTAACAACAGGTCAGTCAGCCAATCAGAAGAGAGGAGGCTCTGAGCCTCTCTTCTGATTGGCTGACTGTTTTCTGAGTGGTCCAATAAAAATATAGCAGATTTCAGGTTAAAAACACTCAGAGAAACCAAATCCTGCAAGGTTTGGATGGTGGGTCCAGGTGGGCGGGGCTTGGTGACTGCTTTGTTGTGACATCACAAAGTTCCAGAAGTGTGTACAAGTCAAGAAAAGACCTCAGAGGATTAAAAACAACTCAAGTTCTTATTCAACATGTTGGACGGTGGATAAATATATAAACACAGGAGTGTCAGACTGACTGACCTGGAACCAGCTCTCTAACAGAACTGAGTACTGAGGTGTGTTCAGTGTTCAACGAGAAACCACGTAAATGCTAACGCTCAAAATCTGTACATGAAAGAATCAGCCACACGACTGTCTGTGTATGTGTATATGTGTGTGTGTGTGTATGTGTATATGTGTGTGTGTGTGTGTGTGAATGGAAACAACAGCCTGGCACAGATGCACAAACATATGTCTCACTTTACACACACACTGCAGCATCTCTGTGTGTGTGGGTGTGTTTCTATAAGTGCTGGTGTGTTTGGAGTGTGTGCTTATTTGTCTTCCTCTCATCTGTCCTCCTCCTCCTCCTTTCTTTCTTCTTTTTTTATCTACATATTTTCTTGTCTTCATTCAGTGTCCACATCTGTAACTATTAAGAACATCTGTGCATGAACATGACGAGTCCAACATCTCGACAACCACCAGCCTCTGATGTTGGGCGTCCATTAACATCTATAGAAACTGCTTCCTACAAATATTTGAGTATATATCTTAAAATAATCTTAAAATAATCTTAAAAGAATCTTAAAATAATCTTAAAATAATCTTAAAATAATCTTAAAATAATCTGGCCTCGTGGTCGTGTGGTTCAGCTGACTGACGTTAACCTGAGATCGACACAGGAAGAGAAGCAGCTTCATAGAAAAAAGAAACTGTTGTACCAAGTTAAATATATACAGAGACAACCTGAGGCCTGAGGAGTGAAAGCAAGCAATAAAACACACACACACACACACACACACACACACTCCAGGGGGTAACTTTAATAAGAGCCACACTCTGATCGATGGCTTTAATTTAAACATCAAACGAGACGCTGCAGGAAGTCGACCGCTGCTGAACCAATCACAGCATGTGACCGACCGACTGTACCTGAGCACCGCGTCACTAACGTACAGTCACAGTTCACACCAGAGACCAGTTCATCCAGAGACCAGTTCACACCAGAGACCAGTTCATCCAGAGACCAGTTCACACCAGAGACCAGTTCATCCAGAGACCAGTTCACACCAGAGACCAGTTCATCCAGAGACCAGTTCACACCAGAGACCAGTTCATCCAGAGACCAGTTCACACCAGAGACCAGTTCATCCAGAGACCAGTTCACACCAGAGACCAGTTCATCCAGAGACCAGTTCACACCAGAGACCAGTTCATCCAGAGACCAGTTCACACCAGAGACCAGTTCATCCAGAGACCAGTTCACACCAGAGACCAGTTCATCCAGAGACCAGTTCACACCAGAGACCAGTTCATCCAGAGACCAGTTCACACCAGAGACCAGTTCATCCAGAGACCAGTTCACACCAGAGACCAGTTCATCCAGAGACCAGTTCACACCAGAGACCAGTTCATCCAGAGACCAGTTCACACCAGAGACCAGTTCATCCAGAGACCAGTTCACACCAGAGACCAGTTCATCCAGAGACCAGTTCACACCAGAGACCAGTTCATCCAGAGACCAGTTCACACCAGAGACCAGTTCATCCAGAGACCAGTTCACACCAGAGACCAGTTCATCCAGAGACCAGTTCACACCAGAGACCAGTTCATCCAGAGACCAGTTCACACCAGAGACCAGTTCATCCAGAGACCAGTTCACACCAGAGACCAGTTCATCCAGAGACCAGTTCACACCAGAGACCAGTTCATCCAGAGACCAGTTCACACCAGAGACCAGTTCATCCAGAGACCAGTTCACACCAGAGACCAGTTCATCCAGAGACCAGTTCACACCAGAGACCAGTTCATCCAGAGACCAGTTCACACCAGAGACCAGTTCATCCAGAGACCAGTTCACACCAGAGACCAGTTCATCCAGAGACCAGTTCACACCAGAGACCAGTTCATCCAGAGACCAGTTCACACCAGAGACCAGTTCATCCAGAGACCAGTTCACACCAGAGACCAGTTCATCCAGAGACCAGTTCACACCAGAGACCAGTTCATCCAGAGACCAGTTCACACCAGAGACCAGTTCATCCAGAGACCAGTTCACACCAGAGACCAGTTCATCCAGAGACCAGTTCACACCAGAGACCAGTTCATCCAGAGACCAGTTCACACCAGAGACCAGTTCATCCAGAGACCAGTTCACATCAGAGATTATTTCATTGCTTGTTACTGAACTTGTTTTGTAAATCTTTTCAGATTCAGATTTTTATCTCAATGTGATTCAGCAGAATAAAATAAAAGTTAAAGATAAAACAAACAATAATCAGCCTGAACCAATCACTGTTCAAAATCTGCACCAATCAATAATTTCATTAACATGGATCAAAGAATAAAACTGTGACAGAAAACTTTAAGTTACAAGGTTAAAACAGGACACACGAGCTGACTCCTCCCTCTAACAGCGTGTGTGCGTGTGTGTGTTTGTGTGTGTATATGTGTGTGTGTATTTGTGCATGCGTGCATACAAGTGTAACAGTATGATTGCATGCATGTGTGTGTGTGTAATCCTATCTGCTTGTTATGCAGGGTATCATTACATCCATATGCTCATCACACACACACACACACACACACACACACACACACACACACACACACACACACACACACACACACACACACACACACACACACAGTTCCCAGAGGT